AAATTAGGTTTACAATGTGTCTATTGTTCTATTCAAAGAAACACAGTCGAAGTCGATGAAGAAAGAAAAAAGCTTGGCTATTGAAACTCCTTCAAGGACGTGTTGATTCTCTCCTTCGAATAACACATTCCAGTGAGTTTCTCTTCAATTCTTCCTCTTTTTCTTCTTTGATTCTTCTTCCGCTTTCTTTCATTTCTTTTTTTTAAGATTTTTCTCTTTTTCTTCACAACAGCAAAACAGACAAATTTTTTTTTCTTCTTTTTTCCTTTTTTTTTTTTTTTTTTTTTTTTGATTCTCTCCTTTGATTTTGTCTTTCTTTGATTTGATTCTCTCCTTTGATTCAATTCTTCTTCCTCTTTCTTGAACTCTCCTTCGTTTTTTTTCTGATATATATTTTTTTATTTATATTTTTTTCCCCACACGAGTTGGAATTTCATGCAAGTCTAGAGACTTCTCTTTAATCATCTTCTAAGAAAAAAAGGTAACGTAGAATCACCCTCTCCGGTATTTTTCTTACTGTTATAGACTGTAGTAGACACAATAAAAAAAATAAAAAGAAAAATAAAAAAATTTGTTATTTAAATATTTAAAAAATTATATACTCGAATGAACTGAAAGAATTCACAAATTATTTTGTTAATAGTTATATTATAAGAATATGAGTTCATCAAAAAGTATAGGTTCAACTGCAAGTGCTCCTATTGATATTGATCAAACTAGGGACGAAAATGCTCCTCTTTGGGGTTACGTTACGAATATAGCTAAAAGGGGAGATGGCAGAAGTGGTAATATCATATTTCGGTGTAATTATTGTAATATTAAGTTTCAAGGTTCGTACTCACAACAACCTAGAGTAAATTTCAATACGACCTTTGCCCCAGTTGTCTGAATGGAGACAATCAGAACAGTTTTAGCCCTGGCAGCATAGCTGGAATTTTCGGTCCACCAGCTGGATGTAAAATCAACATTTTTGAATGGCGATCTACAAGAAGTATATGTGGAGCAACCACAAGGCTATGTGGTGGAAGGAAAAGAAGACATGGTCTATTAACTAAGAAAAGCACTTTATGGCCTAAAATAGGCGTGCTTGGAATAATAACATAGATAGACAAATACTTCATCCATTGCAGTTTTTAAATAAGTCCTAGTGAGCCATCACTATATGTGAAAAAGGGAGGTACCAATGATTTTCTCATCATCTGCCTTCATATTGACGATTTACTTTTCACTGGCAATAATTCTGTGATGCCCGATGATTTCAAAAAGGCTATGATATAAGAATATGAAATGACAGATCTTGGCCTAATGAAATATTTTCTTGGCATTCAAGTGCGGCAGACGAAAGAAGAAATTTTCATTTCTCAAGAAAAATACGCAGAAGACTTGCTGAAAAGATTCAAGATGTCAACATACAAGCCAATTTTAACACCCATGGCGACAAATGAAAAATTGCAGCTAGAAGATGGAGCACCAAAAGTCAACCCAACATTGTACAGCAACCTAGTTGGGTCACTCATGTTTCTCACTAACACCAGGCCAGATATTGTTTATCCAATCAGTATAATTTCCAGATTCATGACTGAACCCAACCAAATCCATTTTTCCACAGCTAAGCAAATACTACGGTATTTGCAAGGCACAAAAAATTTTGGGATAAAGTATTTGAAGGAAGAAGACAACAGTCTTGCTAGATACATTGACAGTGATTGGACAGTTCCATTGATGATCGAAAAAGCACATTTGGATATGTGTTTTGGATGTGTTTTGTATAAAGCAATCTCTTAGTCCTCAAAAAAGCAAAAGACGGCATCACTCTTATCAGCTGAAGCAAAATACATTGCTGCCACCAACGCCGCTTGTGAAACTGTATGGCTTGGAAAAATTCTTGCAGATCTACAGCAAAAGCAAATGGACCCCACAATAATTTACTGCAACAATATGTCTGCCATTACCATGACGAAAAATCCCACTTTCCATGCTCAAACAAAGCATATTGAACTTCGTCATCACTTCATTAGAAATTTGGTAGGAAAGAAGAAATTCAATTGGAGTTTGCCAATACTAACAAACAGCTTGCAGACATTTTTACCAAAGTAGTGCCCTCACAAAAATTGGAACAATTCAAAATTTTTTGTCATGTATTACAAATTAAGAGGGGTGTTAAATAACTAATTTGTAATGTGTTTTATTTTGTGTCAATTTGTAAATAAGTTAGCAACTTGAAACTTGCTGTCTCAGATTTGCTTAGTGTCAGCGTCAGTACATGCAACTTGTAGATACATGGATGTGATTGGTTCATCCTCATTGGTTGAGAGGGTTGGCAGCCTTCCCTATATAAAGGCAAGAGCTCTTCATTTGTTAACACACCAAACACAGTAATACAAAGCATTTCAGTAGCTCTTTTAGTCCCTCTCACTCTCTCACTCTCTCAGCTCTCTTTCTCTCTAAATTTCTCTGTTCTGAATTTTGGGTCTCTCATTTTCTCTCTCTAGAATAGTATATTTACTTTATTTAAAATTCACTTTGCACCCAACACCTACTGCACCCCAAAGTAGAAAATAGTACATCGTCCTAGAGTTCCTTTGCCACAGGGCAATGTATAAGAAGGTGATCCACGTCTCTTCTCCCTTAAAAAGCAGGCAACATCTGCCAGTCAGCCTATACCAGTATACCTTCGCTCTATGTTACCTGGAACATGGAGTGTTCTGGTACAAGGAACATGGTATGCCACGTGCCTTAAATTGTGGTACAATAGGGTTGTTAAATAGTTTGATATGCATTGTTAGATACATTTCCTAACAGCTTTAACAATTGGTGATATAACATGGTATCAGAACTCAAGTTGAAAGAGGTCTTTGGTTCAAGGATAATCCTATCCCCAACATAGGCATTTGAGGCTCAAAATGCCAGCACGCCAGCACTTCAGCCAAAAGCTTATAACCACACATCACCAAGCTTTATGTACATTAAATCCTTCAATTCAAAAGCACCTCCCTTCTTAGGGAATAAAGCTATGAACACAGCACTAAGATTCCTTTCGAAAACCTTAGCCCTACGGCAATAATTAAAGAAACCCATAATATCCACTCCTAATGGAATTCCATGAAGCCAACAAAAGGCTATTGAGGCCAGAAGCCTTGTCTCTATTGCATTCCTTCAAAAAATATAAAGCTTCCTCCTCTAAAAAGTGCACTTCTAGCTAGCCCAATCTCCTAAATTGGAATGAAAATCCCACCCTTTAAGAAAAGGTCTCCTAGCACAAGGCTCTTAGTATAAATCCACATAAAACACCATTTATGATGACCCTCATCTTTTCTAATCTCCTCTCCACCAATCAGTTAGTTGCCTATATGATTGTGACTTCTGTGAGAGTTACCGAGCTGGTGAAAAAAAAATTTCCCATCACCCCCTTCAACCATAGCTCCCTAGCCTTTTGCCCCCAACAGATTTCTTCCATAAAGATGATCCTAACCAAATTAGCTTTAGCCACCTCACTACACATTGCTTTGTCTTCCAATAGGGCCTCCACTGCCTCCTTTCTATCGCACTGATGGATTTGCTCCACAGTTTTCACGTTATGGAACTTTAGATCACCAAACACCCCCTTATTCCACCTTTTAATCTCAACTTTGATCCATTTCCACTTACTTGCTACCATAGAGAACAAGTTCCCTTCCACTGTAAGGCTTTCCCACCACTGATCCTCCTCCTCCATAAAACCCTCAGGCTGAATTACTCCCATTATGAATTCCCCCTCAATACAACAAAATAGGCCAATGAAGGGAGTCCCAAATTGGATAAGATGTTACAAAAAAAAAGGAAAAAGTGGCTCTTAATATACAATGGATGGACTCACCATTTACAGCCTAAAGCTTTTTAAATGAGGACTTCCAAACAATGTGTTGAGCCCTGGTGTTGTAGAATCAGTTTCTCCCCCAACAGATTGCGCCATGTTGCGCATTAGGTGGGCTCTCTGGTTTTCCCAACTCTTCCTAGTTCCCATCAGTCAATCTTTGAAGTTCTGCCACCTCCAAAGGCCTTTCTTCATCCACCCTTCCCACCAAACACTACTTTAGAAAATCCAGCAGAGCACAAGGCAAAGCATCAACTTCAATGTCATTACCCATATTCCAAGAACCTACAATTTCCTCAGGCCAATCACTAACCCTAGCGACCTCGTCCAACGGCCTTCAATTAAACTCCTTAGTGCTGACAGATAAATTAACAAAATCCATTAACGTGTTTATAAACAATACCCAATCTTCTCCTTCCTCTATAGCAGGAACACACAAGGACCTCCTCCTAGATCCTTCCCACATCGCAAGTTCATGGAAGCATCCGCCCCAAATTTCATAATATCTCCCTTTCAAAACTTTGTTAGGCCCCTTGAATCTTCCCGAAGCCCAAAATGGTCTCTTCTTCTTAGCTTCTTTAAGTTGCAAACACAACCATTTTGACTTTGAAGACACTAGAAAAATAAATTGCGGGAAACCCATCCACCTTTCAGCCACCGCCACACTGGACTCGCCATCAGCGTCATTGATCGCAAGATTGAATGTCTTCCAAGGTAATTGAACTGTAGACCACGTATTCAAATGACAAGATTTGCCAGTACTTAATCCTAAGCAAATTCTTAGACTTTATGAAGAAAACATTTTGATTAATTTTCCGTGATTAAATATCAATATACTAATGAACCCTTTTCCTGTAGAAAATACCCTATTTATTTATTTTGGCCAATGATGATAAAATTGTGCTCTCCTAATTATCAAAAACCATAGACGCAAATCTTCAAGGTTTTTTATTTTTTATTTTTAATCCCAGAGCCAACTAAAAGAGCCTAAAGTTGCAAATTTGTTTTGGAAGTGTCTCAAACTCTCAGTGAAACAACAAGAAAAAGCCAAAAGTCTTTTTCTTCTACCATCCAATATCTGGCAGGAGAACAGAATAGAACTGGGTATAGATAAGAATAAAGAAATAAATAGGCTTTGAATTCATACCAGCAGAACGAAAAGCATTGTGAATCTCCAAATGTAAGAAATGGACAGTGTCTACAAGTTTCTCCATTACCTATATAATGATAAATGCAATAAATTAGGGCCCTCTGAAAATATACTACATAAATTACTCTGAATGAGGTTAATTTATCGAGATCCTTCCAAACGAAGATCTCCATAAGCAAAATAAATTTAGTCCATAGCATAATGAGCACAAAACTACAGACTATATGCTGAAAAATAGTATTTACTATTTAGTAAACAAAATTACTGATTGAAGTCAATTGAATATCTAGAAACTTCCAAACTAAGATTAGCACATTGTCTAACCTATAAACCTTGAAAGAATCATAAAACAGTATGGGCAATACCTCTTCTAAAATCTTGGCCCAGAGTGATTTCTTTTTCAAACTTCTCACAAGCTTCCTTTGACTCTTCAACTCAGCCCTTAAGATTGCAAGGCCATCTCCTAAATGTTATGAATACATAGACAATTAAAACAATATTACAAGCATATACAATATTCATGAAATAAAAATTTTAAAATAAAAACAAAAAAATAGATAGACAGACCAACAGATAGATAGATACATTCTGTTAGAATATTTACATATCTTACATCTAAGGTGGGAAAAGGTTACATCATGAGGTGAAATCAATCGCATAAAGCTGGACCAGGCACATCAACAGGAACACAGTGCAGGGCTCAAGCCCAGCCACAAAGACAAATCCCTAAAAGTAGAAGAACACCATGGAAGGGTCAATCCAAGTTGGAGGATGGGCATGGCCCCGTTGAATATTGAAAAGCCTTAAATTTCAAGTTCATTATTATTCCTTGCAGGCCTAGGAGCTAAGAATGGCCATGGGCTAAACAGCTAGGCCAAGTTTGGCATTCGCTAACCAAGCCTATGAAGCACAGACACAAACACGGGGCACGACACGAACACGCAAATTTTCAAAAAATGGAAAACACCACATGCTGGGGACACGCTTAATATATATATAACTTTTTTTATTTATTATATGTAAAATTAAAAAATATTTATTATTTTTATTTATTTATATCATTTATTTATTTACTTTAATATCAAATATCAAAACCAATTAATTTTTGAAAAAATTACCCATAAATCCTATTTTCTGAAAAGTTGAACCATTTAGTCCTAAAAGTTTTCTTATGCACCATTTAGTCCCATTTAATTTTGGTAAACAACATCAAACATCATCATCAAAACAACATCAAACATCGCAACATCATCATCAAACAACATCCGGGACTACCAAAGAAGAACCCTAACTTCCACGGCGTCCGATCTCCCACTTCTCACATCATCGGCAAGATTCCCCTTGCTTCAGACTCCTCCCTCATCTTCCTCATTCCAAAAACCAAAAACTCTTCCAGACTCTCACATGAAAAAAAATAAAATAATAATAATAATAATAAATAAATAAATAAGGCTTTGGAAATTTGTGTTTGTTCATCTTCAATTGGTGCAATCGATTTAATGGCGGAAAATCATCGAACCGCAGAATCAGAGAAGTTGCTTCTGACGCAACACGCCGAGAAGCACTTCACGGCGGGCGAGATCGCCTGCGACATCATCATCGGCGTCTCTGACGGCCTCACCGTCCCCTTCGCTCTTGCCGCTGGTCTCTCCGGTGTGAACGCTTCCTCCTCCATCATCCTCACTGCCGGCATCGCCGAGGTCGCCGCCGGCGCAATCTCCATGGGATTCGGCGGTGGTTTCAACGTCATCAACGCCACATTCAATCGGTCTAATGTTCTTCGATTTGAGGGATTTGAGGGAAGAACATCACTGTGTTGATGATTTCGATCGAATAGCACACATCCGATATTCAAGAACATTCAAGAACATCACTGTGTTGAAGAACATCACAGATCCGACATTCAAGAACGTCAATGTGTTGAAGAACGTCACAGATCCGATACTCAATCCGATTCGAGGGAAGAACATCGCTGTGTTGATGATGTTTTGTTAATGTTGATCTGTTTTGATGTTGTTTTGATGATGTTTGATTTTCGAAAATTACCCAATTGTTTTTTTTTTCTTTTTCAGATTGCTTTTTTGCTTTGAAGGTCTGGAATGCCCACACATTGACCATCAATGGCGACCCATTATCCTTCAGAAATGGTTGTTTGTTTAGTGATATATAATGTATATGTTGATGTTTGATATATATTTTTTTAGTTTGATGTTGTGATGTTGTGTTGTTGATGATGTGATGATGTTTGATGATGATGATGACGATGTTGTGATGTTTGATGTTGTTTTAATAATGATGTTTGTGATGTTTGATGTTGTTTTGATGATGATGTTTGATGTTGTTTGATGATGATGTTGTGATGTTTGATGTCGTTTTGATGATGATGTTTGATGTTGTTTGATGATGATATTGTGATGTTTGATGTTGTTTTGATGATGATGTTTGATGTCGTTTTGATAATGATGTTGTGATGTTTGATGTTGTTTTGATGATGATAATGTTGTTTTGACGATGATGATGTTTGATGTATATGCCCTCTATGGTCAATTTCCCTATAATGGGACCTTTCAGTCTATAAGAAAACTTTTAGGATTAAATAGTGTATAAGTTATTAATTTGGGATTTATTGGTGCATCACCCTTAATTTTTTTCTATAAATAAAAATATTTTATTCTATGTATGTTAATGTTTACCAAACAAGAATGTCCAAAAAAATAGAAAAAAGGAAAAGAGGGGGAAAAAGGTATTTGTTACCAAAATTTTAAAAAAAAAAATACTATAAACAAAAAAAATACTATAAAAAAAGGGTTTCATCAGAGAGAGAAGAAAAGAAAAGAAAAAACGAAGAGAGAGAGAGAGAGAGAGAGAGAGAGAGAGAGAAGGTCAAACATGGAGAGTCTCAGTCAAACAGTCAGAGAAAGAGAGAGAGAGAGATTCGAATAGTCGACCACACAAAACACGCAGAGAATGAGGGGGAGAGAGTCGAATAGAGAGAGAGAGAAAGAGAGAGACGAACACAAACACACAAAGAGAGACGAATAGAAGAAGATCAAAGAATAGATTGGAAGAAACGTAGAACATATTCGAAGAATATACCTCGATCTAGGGCTTCAACAAGTTCTTCACCCTCTCTCTCTCTCTCTCTCTCTCTCTCTCTCTTCAATGGGTTAGGGTTTTTCTCTCTTTGTGTCTCCAACGTGTCCGTAAGGTGTCCAAGAGTGTCCCGAGCATGTCCGGCTGCAAAAATTCGAAAAAAAAGGGGGGGACACATTAGGTAGAGTGTCCGACACGTGTCCGCTGTGTGTCCAACGCGTGTCCGTGTCGAACACCCATACTCTACCTCCGGAGAGGTGTCTGTGCTTTATAGAACCAAGCAAACATCCTCACATTAGGCATCTCTACCTCCTTATTATATCTATAGTTTTCCCAAAACGCATGACATATAAGAAACTACAACCTTTTCTGGCTTGGAAGTAATTACTGTAAAAGTTTTCATTAGGCCAAATAATTGAAAACATACATATTCTACCATCTTTGGTAGCTTTGAAACAAAAAACCTCAAGACATCATTTTTTTCCTTTTCTGTTTCTTTTAGTGACAATGGAATTAGTCATGATATTAGTTTAGAAGAAGAACTTGGGAATATAAGCTCCTATCCACATTTTATGTAACAATCATTCATTAGCCACTTTTTCCATAGGCAAATCTTATGAGCATACACATCAATCTTAGCATTCACATACCACTTCTGATTTGAACTACTCAATCGAATCAACAAAAGTCAACAGTGCTGCGATATTAATTAAGATCAGTGCACTAATGATAATCAATATATAAGCAGCATCAAGTGATCATCAAGCTACTAGTGGAATATCAGTTTTTTATGTCTTTTATACATAATTAAGCAATTCTAAACAACACAACATAGGTATTATAACCTTCACACATCTCCAAGATTTTCAATTTTTAATACACAGATACCAGAATCTAAAGAATCATTTTGCATTATTTAAAATAGATTCAGCGTGTTAAAACAAAGTAGATAAACTAGATTGATTAAAAGAAAGCTGCATGAATTACGGGAACAATTACCTCTTTGAGCAGCATTTGAGTTGTCCTCTTCCTGTTGCTTGCGCCGATAATCTTGTTCAAATCTGTCCAAGGCATGTAACTCATGATACAGTTCCTGCAACCAAAAGGAAGTTCAATCTTTCCTCCATTCAAGTTCTACAAGATAACACCTACGCATTAATCGAGTTGTAATTTGTGAACCATGCGATCTGCTCCACTATTCTAGCCTGTCAAAGAGTAATCATATTTTGCTTGATGGACTAAGCAACTATCTTTAGTGCAGTGACAACTGACAAAGGAGTTGGCACTGAGAAAGTTAGGGGAAGTGATTACAATATATGCAAGGTTATTCACCCAAAAAAAGATACATGCAAGGAAAGTTTGTGCAGGATGGTGGCGACAAGCATGTGAGTGATAGGGGAGATAAGATTTTTAATAGAGTGAAAGGTCAGAGAATGGGATTAGAGACTGGTGTAAGTAAGGAATTCAAAAAGCATATTGAATAAATAGTGGGAGGTATGTTGGGTTCCCTGGAATGCTAATACCTTTCAAACTCGGCTTGTAGGAACAACTCAGCAAGATAAAGATGCTTGTTTGGTAATTATGACAGAAGGTCACAGAATTCAGAATAGAGTGGACTCGGAATCTCACTTCACAAGTAAAAAAAAGAAAAGGAAACATGCAAAACTTCAACTTAAACAGAACTTCTCTCCTAGTATAATGGTGAAGAACAACTCACAGCAGTAAACTGAACCAAAGTCATCAACTGCTGCATCACGGTTTCTGCTTCTTCTTTCAACTGTTTTGGGGGTGTAAGTTCTGAACTAAGCCTAAAGATGACAAAAGAAAGCACCAGAGACAATGTGAGAACATTTTGAGAAGCTTCAAAAAAAAAAAAAATAAATAAAAAGGCTGAAGTAGACTAGATTCACTAGAATTACTTCTCAAAGTAACGATCCAAGTAGTGCCACTGAGGATCTTTGCATCGATTTCCAAAGCGAACCACTTCTCCAGAAAAAATTTTCAGTTCATCCCTGTTACATTAAAATAATGCTTTTTACTTTTGAAATAACAACAGCTTAAGCACATTATGAGTACACATATGTATGATTAAAGCTGGTCATGCAGTATCAACCTCTTGTCAGCTGCAGCAATTCTAAGGAGTTCATCCATATCTCTTGATATTAAACGTTGCACACCTTCTGAGGGAAGCACCACCTCTTTCAAATGTTTAACGCTTTCCCTCGAAAGAGATTGCATAAGATTCGCACCCTTGACAATTGTGTTCGCAACTTCAAAAGCCAAAATTGAAATTTTATTTCCCTTTGTTACAACGCCCGAAACAAAACCACTGCTAAGGTTCAAATTCGTCATGCTACTACCAAGAGTATCCAAAACGTCTACTGCCTTTCCAAGCCCAGCAGTACCTGCTCTGCCCAAAAGAGAGCTCACTTCTGAAACCTGTGATACAAGAAGTAAAAATCAAAAAATAAAAATAAAAGGCTGGTAAAGCAATGTAGCAAAATGTACTGACCAGATGGCAACTAGCTTTATTTGTTGACAGATAAATTAGTACGTAATCAAGATCATATGTACATAATGAAACCACCATCCGAAAGTAGTTTGCAGGACAGACGGAAAATTATTTATGACATTTGCTTGAGCACGGGGACATGGCGGGGACATGTACAGAACACGCCACATGTTCATTTATTTATTTATTTTGGTTTTCAAGTGACCTGTCCTCATTTTGACCGACCTTAAAACTTAGGCACTTGAAATGCTTTCCAATGATGAAAGGTATTATAATTTTGACTTTTGAGATTCTTTAAATTGCCATTTTCGTACTAAAAACTATTTTTAGCCAAAATTACCATTTTTCGACTCATCTTGAGAGCTTGTTTTCACCTAGTAAAAGTTGGGATTGGAAAATTTCTATTTCACACAAACTTGTAGGTCTTTAAGTTAGCTTTCCCACGCCACTTGAATCACCTCAATCCGATGTCGTATGAGAGAGAGGTGTCCAAAATACAAAATGTTGTCCTATATGTGCGGCTGCACGTGCAGCCAGTCAGCCCAGATTCTTGGTTCATTTGGGATTGTGTTGCATTTTGGACAGGAGATGCTGCAAGTTGGCGATAGGGGAACCTTAGGACGACCTTTCTTAGAACCCAAGTCATCCCATGCCTATAAATACACTCCCTTGCCTCCCCTTTTAAGAAATCCCCAAGAGTAATGAAACAAAGTGTTTTTAGTGTGTTAGAACAGTGAAACTCAAAACCCAGCCTCCAAATCCGAGATTCCTAAGCCTAATACAGCAGCAAAACAACTTCAAAGAGTTGATCTAAGGTTGAAAAGAGTTGATCAAAGTGAAACCAAAGCTTGAGGAAAGCAATCAAGCAACTTTCTCTCCTTTTTCTCGAGTTCTTCGGTTTGTTTCAAACCAGCAAGTGTTCTTGTTTCTTTTAATTCCAGCACTTTTTAATCATGTTTTACATATATGATAATGGTTAGGGTGTTAGCATGCATGCATGATCATGTACATTAGTATTTTGTTAATATTTTGCTTTGTTTCTGCATGTTTTAGTTATGAATAATATACAGCATATTTAGTTTAGTTTAATCCCCATGTTTGCATTCATATAGCCCAGTTTAATCATCATATAGCCTCAGCATGTTCTCTATATTTTATGTGTTAGTTGTTATGTTTTTTGGATGTCATGTTAGTAGCCATTCAAACAGACATAGGTTCATGCTTGCTTGTTTAGTAGCATGTTTAGGGTCATTGTATATTATTATTGCATGTTTTATTATCATCATGTTGCTGCAGAATCCGGGTGAGTTCTTCTTTCCCTCATAGCATGTTGCTTACTACTTGATGCATTGTTTTCAATTATTCTAGTTTATGAGCATTCGGTGATCAATTGTGTGTTTTGAATGATTTTTGTTTTTCTGATCGGCATGTTTTGAATGATTTCGATGATATTATTTGAGTTGGAGTCATGTTTATAGCCATATGATCAGTTTAAGCCATCTTTTGTTTAAGAAAATCGAATTGTTTTGTGAAAATCTTTGGCTAAGATATGGTTGTATTCATGAGTCCAACTCAAGCGCTATCTTGTTTATTCAATCATCTAGTTGATTAGGTCAGTTAAAGATTTAGGAAAAATCTCATAAAATAAAGGATTAGTAGAGCCCAATCAATTGATTGGGCGAGAGGAGTACTCAATTGATTCCCGAGCCAAGAATATTTGGTTATGACGGATTAGTGCCTATATTTTCAAAGTCAAATGATTTCTTAGTTCCCCATAAAAGACTAACGCTCTATTTGTTAGGGCGGAAAACATTTTCAAATGGAAAACATTTCTTACAGAAAACCTTTTCCAGAAAATGTTTTCTGGAGAAAACATTTTTCTATAGGGGTGTTTGGGAAGAAGTTTTTTTTAGCTTTTTTTGGCTAAAATAGCACTAAAAGACAAAATATGCTAAAATAGCCAATAAGACAAAATATCACATCAAACCCATAATCATTTCACTTTTTCTCTCACAAATATCACATCAAACCCATAATCATTTCACTTTTTCTCTCACAAATATCACATCTAACTACAAAAAAATCCAACTATCTTCCCAAATACAAAAATTTTAGCCTCCTAAAATAGCCAAAAACTAAAATAGCCTACTAAAATAACAACTTCCCAAACACCCACTATGCTTGGTGGTGGTGGTGGTGGTGGTGGTGAGACAAAGGTAAAGGTGGAGGTGGAGGTGGTGGCATGGTGATGGGGCAGCGACGGTGCTGATAGCGACAGTGATGATGACAGTGGCCATCGTGTTGGTGGTGTGGTGGTAGAGGTGAAAGTGACAGCGGTAGTGTGGTAATATTGGTAGTGTGGTAATATTGATAAAACTTTAGTCCAGAAAACGTTTTCCACCTTTTAAAAGTTAAAAACATTTTTTGCCCATATAGGCTTGTTTTCTGTTGACCATGAAAAAAAAAATTTGTTAACTTTTATTTCCCATTGTATCAAATACCAGAAAATGCAGAAAATATTTTTTGTCCAAACAAATGGAAGAGTGGCGACTCTTTGTCGTGAATCGATCTATTTTGAAAACTTGTGGGATAAACAATTGGTTATCACTATACATCATATGATACACATTCCATGTGGGATATTAGAGTTTGGTACAATGTGTGGAAACGTGCCCTTTAAAAAGGCATGGCATCCACATAAGGACACAACAGGGACACACTAACTAGTTATTTTCACCTCTTCTTTAATACTTTTGATAAATGTTGAATGTTATATATGTTTTACTTTTTGCTTAGATTTGAATAATTAATGGATCATTATCCATAAAAAATACATAAACTACAAGAGTTTACTTAAGAGTGGATTTTTTTATTATATTGAATAGTGTTGGTTTTTATTAATTTTAATTGTTCTTTTTTTTTTTTTTTTTTGATCAATATTAATTTTAATTATTCATTGATGTACTATTAAGCTACATAGAAAATAAAAAATAAAAAAATTGAAGATATTTATAACCATGTCCCCACTGTGTCTGTGTATCCATTTTTTCTAAACAACCTCATTTTTTTGAAACAAATTTCCAGAAAATGTAGTTGAATATATAAGCCAAGAAATGCAAAGGCAAATAGAAACATAAGAACATATCCAAAAATAATATCCAGGCAGGACACACCTTCGCAACAGCCTGCTTAGACTTTGTTGCTTTTGATTTGTCCGACAAAGCCCTAGACAAACGTGGACTCCCATCATTGATATCATCCACATTCATCCCATATGAAATCGTATTCACCTCCGGAAGTGAAAAGGATTCTCCTAATTGCTTATCCATGGTTTCCCCAACCAGAGGCGGCGTCAAATTGCTATTCAAGTTGGCAACCACTCCCCGAGACTGATAAACTATTCCAGAACCATAGTTAAAATGACCATTAACATGTGGAAAGCCTGTGTTGGTTGTACCATCTTCAGTGGATCTCCTTGAGCAAAGCCCACCCATTGCATCAGCAATGCCAACTAGTAGTTCATACCTATTTCAAGCTTCCCATACAAAACCCAAGATTTGAAGCATTCCCAAATGCTTAAAGAACCTTTTTATTCGGTAAATTCGGAATTCAGACTGAAGTGATTTGTAGCAAATGGAACCCTTCCGCAATCAGTTAATCACAAGGGTGATCTGCACACATTAGGGTTTCAATACTAGCAGATGACCCCAATAATCTAACCCCATCCTTGATCAATATTTTCAAATTACCACACTGAAAATCCACTGGAATCCACTGAAAAGCCACAAATAATTATGACACCAAACTGCAATAAAAAGTAGTAACAAATAAAAAATAAAAACTCATAAGAAAAAGTCAGAAAGAGAGAACAAAAATTAATCAGAAGAATTAGAAAAATAGAAACCAAGTACAAGATTCAAGTTAATGAGTAAACAACAGAAAATAGCAAAAAGAACCGGAAAACAGGCAAATTAGTCACAAATGAAGCTCTACGACGACAATCAAAAGCCAGCAAAAACTTGGGTTTGTTCACAAATTTGAATACCAACATATAAATACATAAAATTGAACAAATAGAGAAAGATGGTAACTTACCGAACAAGAGAGGGATGATGAGTTGGATCAGCAAGAAGATACTAGTAGAGATTCTGGTCAGTGTTTCTTTCCAACAAGAACAAAAACAACGGGGAGAGACAGAGGGTGGTGATGATATCGTAATGATGATGAAAACGATGATGGTGATGGGTAAGAGATTCTAAAGAGAGATAGAAAAGTAATGAGAGCACAGAGGAAGTGAACAGCCTATACCCAACCCAACCCACACGCAATCAAAGCACGGTCTCTCTCTCTCTCCTCTGCCTTAAAAGAAGTTCAAAGGGACTGACCTGCCACACCACCAAACTAGGCCAGAGACGCAAAGTATTCTCTCCCCCGTCTCTCTCTCTCTCTCTCTCTCTGGTCAAACCCACAAATATTACCCACTAAAATCTTAACCATGGTCAAGTTTTAGATGACCCTCCCAACCCATTACTGATGTCACTCACGTTTGGTGTGGTGTTTATTTGACATGTGTTAAAATAATATATATTATTTTAATATATTATTTTATTTAAATTATAATTATCTTATTTAGTTATATTATTTTTTTATCATATTATTTCAAATATAATTTATATTTGGGATTTTTATTGATAAGTCCAATTTAGAAGTGTTTTAACTCAAGAAATTAATGAAGGAATTTTTTAACCCATTTAGCCTCCGTTTGGGAAGTGGGTTGGCTTTTTGGCTTTTTTGGCTATTTTAGCCTGGGTTTAAAAGCTTGGTTTGGGAAGGACTTTTTGGCTTTTTGGCTTTTTTAAGTTTTTTTGTGAGAGAATAATGTAATGATTATGGGTTGGATGTGATGTTTTGTTTGTTATGGCTAAAATAGCCTATTTGTTTTTTGTGGCTAAAATAACCAAAAAAGCCCAAACCATGGCTTCCCAAACGAAGCCTTAGTCTCATGTATGTATAGTTTTATTCCATAAAGTCCATTTTCTTGATTTACACTATTTTCTTGGACATTTATGCCCTTATATTTAATTTTGATACCCTTATAAATATTTTTTCAACGATTAGTAATTTAATGATGTGAATATTCATATTTTTAAATTCACATTTATAGGAATGTAAATTGGCCCGTGGGCGGCCAGAAACCCGCCCGCGAGCTAGGGCGGGCCCGGCCCGTTGACAATGTGAATATTCACATTGACATGTTAAAATTCACATTAATAAGAGTGTAAAATTGGCCCCCGTCCCGTGGCGGCGCGAAACCCACCCGCGGCCCGAGGCGGGCCCGGTCCGGCCCGTTAACAATGTGAATATTCACATTGACATGTTAACATTCACATTGATAGGAGTATAAAATTGGCCCGCGGCCCATGGACGGTCAAAAGCCCGCCCGCTGCCCGGGGCGGGCCCGGCCTGGTCTGTTGACAATGTGAATATTCACATTGACATGTTAACATTCACATTGATAAGAGTGTAAAATTGGCCCACAGCCCCAGGCGGGCTTGGCCCGACCCATGACAATGTGAATATTCACATTGACATGTTAACATGCACATTGATAAGAGTGTAAAATTAGCCCGCGCCCCGTGGCTGTCCGAAACCCGTCCACGGCCCGGGGCGAGCCCGGCTCGGCCTGTTGACAATGTGAATCTTCACATTGACATATTAACATTCACATTGATAGGAGTGTAAAATTGGCCCGCAGCCCATGGGCGGCCCGAAACCCGATCGCAGCCCGAGGCGGGCTTGGCCCGACCCGTGACAATGTGAATATTCACATTGACATGTTAACATTAACATTGATAGGAATGTAAAACTTGTCCGCTGCCCGAAGCTCCCCCGCGGCCCGGGGTAGGCCCGGACCCAAACCCGGGCCACCCCGAGCCGCCCACGGGTTTCGGGCCGCCCATGGGACGCGAGTCAATTTTACACTCTTATCAATGTGAATGTTAACATGTCAATGTGAATATTCACATTGTCAACAGGCTGGGCCGGGCCCGCCTCGGGCTGCCCACGGGCCGTGGGCATGTTTCGGGCAGCCACGGGGCACGAGCTAATGTTACACTCTTATCAATGTGAATGTTAACATGTCAATGTGAATATTCACGTTGTCAACGGGCCGGGCCCACGTGTGAATGTTAACATATCAATGTGAATATTCACATTGTCAACAGGCTGGGCCGGGCCCGCCTCGGGCTGCCCACGGGCCGTGGGCGTGTTTCGGGCAACCACGGGGCACGGGCTAATGTTACACTCTTATCAATGTGAATGTTAACATGTCAATGTGAATATTCACGTTGTCAACGGGCCGGGCCCACGTCGGGCCGGGGCCGGGCTTCGAGCTGCCCACGGGTCACGGGCTAATTTTACACTCTTATCAATGTTAATGTTAATATGTCAATGTGAATATTCACATTGTCAACGAGCCAAGCCGGGCCCGCCCTGGGCAGCAGACGGGCTTCGGGCCGCCCACGGGCCACAGGCCAATTTTACACTCCTATCAATGTGAATGTTAATATGTCAATGTGAATATTCACATTGTCAACGGGTCGGACCGGGCTCGCCCCGGGCTGCCCATGGGACGCGAGTCAATTTTACACTCTTATCAATGTGAATGTTAATATGTCAATGTGAATATTCACATTGTCAACAGGCCGGGTCGGGCCCGCCTCGGGCCGTCCACGGGCCGTGGGCTAGTTTCGAGCACCCACGGGGCGTGGGCTAATTTTATACTCTTATCAATGTGAATGTTAACATATCAATGTGAATATTTGCAATATCAACGGGTCGGGCCGGGCCCGCCCAGGGCAGCCCACGAGCCGTAGGCGGGTTTCGAACCGGCCACAGGCCGCGGGCTAATTTTACACTCCTATCAATGTGAATGTTAACATGTCAATATGAATATTCACATTGTCAACGGGCCGGGCCGGGCTGGGCCGGGCCCGCCCCGACCCGGGCTTCAGGCTGTCCACGGGTCATGGGCCAATTTTACACTCTTGTCAATGTTAATGTTAATGTTTATATGTCAATGTGAATATTCATATTGTGAACGGGCCGGCCCGGGCCCGTCCCGGGCAACGGGCTGGTTTCAGGCCGCCCACGGGCCGCAGGCCAATTTTACACTCCTATCAATGTGAATGTTAACTTGTCAATGTGAATATTCATATCATCAACAGGCCGGGTCGAGCCTATTTTTTTGGCTTGTGGGCCGGCCCAGCCTGACTCGAATTTTTCCAGGCACCCACGAGGATCGACATGAGCCGGGCCCCTACACATTGACGATATAAACATTTATATTGACGTTGTGAACATTCACATTAAGGGTATTTTGGTAATTATGTCACCTATAGGACTTATTGAAACATAAGAAAATAATGTGAACTAAATGGAATATAAGTAGATGAAAAGGGTATTTTGGTCTTTTTATCTCAAATTGGACCTAATGGAATAGTCAAAAAGAATATGGGCTGGATGGAATAAAGCTCTTAGAAAATGGATTTATCAAAAAAGCTCCCTTTATATTTTATGTTTTTTTTATAAAAAGTTAAAAAGTATATTAATTTAGCACTTTTCAAATAACTCCTTAACTACGAAATCCACCCCAAAAATATTATTTTAGTAATTTTACGATAATTTTTTATGAAAAAGTGTAAAAAAAAATTAGAAAGAATGATATAATAATTTATAATGATCTTTTAATTTTTAACTAAAATACTTAATTTCCAAACGAGTCCACAAGTTTTTAAAAATTTATTTAGTTATGAGTTTTAAAAATAATTTTTAAAAAATTGAATTCAAAACTTGTTTGGTTATGAATTTTTTAAATTAATTTTTGAATTGTATTTTTTTTTATCTTGTAATTAAAACTTTTTTTGTAATGTTATAGTTATATTTGTTTGCATTTTTCATAACATAATTTGAATGTGCCTTTTAGATACATCTAATTTAATTCATATGGCAGAATTTCACTCTGTATTTTTTATTTTTTATAAATGTTTTAAAATTTGAACACTTCTTTTTTAGTTTTATATTCACTCCATCTACATATATTTAAAATGCTTCACATTTATAAAAAAAAAAATTATGAAATTGCCGAATAATGACAAATGTACAACAACAACAACAACAAAAGCACCCAGTTTAAAAATTAATACAATTTTAATGTTTTGTATATATATTGAAGTTGTTTTTTATGCCTAAATCATATACATCTAAAACATAAAAGTGAAAACATGAGGTTTGGAGGCTTGGTCAATTGGGTTTTGAAAACTTATTTGTGAAAACCTCAACCAAACAAGTTTTGGGCTTGAAATGGGATGAGATTTTCTCATGATCTCAACATAAAAGAATTTGAGAGATTTACAGGGCCAACATGAGTCTTGTATCAACGATCCGAACTATTTATTTTGTAAGACCCGTAATGTATATTATCTATGAAAAAATTGAAGTCAATCCGATAATCATAACATTTTCATTTATCGCATTTGTATTTAAAAAAATGAATGGTCTATTTCAAAAATATATTTGTCTTTTATTTTTTCGGAGACAGATGCAATAAAATAAAATAAAAAGATAGTATTGGATCAAACTAATTGTTTTTATAGATAATATACATTACATATCTTACAAAATGAACGATTCGAATCATCGAAATGAAACACTCCAAGTTCTATCATATTGAGATCCTAACATGAAATAAGCCCAATCCTTTTAAAATATATGTTTTGAAAATTAGAAACCAAACAGGATTTAAATTTTAAATTTTGAAAAAGTGCTTCAAGAACCAAACGATGATTTTTTTACATTTGACTTTTTTTTTTTAAGGGAAATTACTACTCAAGAATTATCACACAATAGTAAAAAAGTTTACGAATTTTTTGACACTGGTGTGCAATTTATCATATTTTTAAAGGAAATTTTCACCTCAATAGGTGTTTAAAAAATTATTTTCAAATTAATGATAAACTTTATATACATAAAAAAATAAATTCATATTTTTCTCCATTACTTTGTAATTAAATTTAAAAAAATTCTCAGAACAGTAATTTTCCCTATTTTTAATCTATAAGGATCTACTTTATGCCTCGTTTGGGAAGCAGCCGGTTTAGCCAAAAAGTAAAAAAGTTATTTAAAAAGTAAAAAAGCCAACAACTCATACCAAAAAGTCAAAGATTCTCTTTTTTCTCTACTTTTTGCACATCTTTTCGTAAAAAGTCAAAAAGTCATCCCAAACATATTAGTTTTTTTTAGCTCATATTTTAGCTAAATAACCAAAAAATTACTAAATTAGCATGTTCCTAAATGAGTTTGTTATGTAACAATATTAAATTTAAATATATTTTCAATTTTGTTAACTTTTTTTAAGTTAAACTAACAATATTGTTTGACTTGAGAAGATCAAAAGCATTT